TAGGGCTAGGGCTAGGGTTTGGGTTAGGAATAGGATTAGGGTTAGGGCTAGCATTAGGGTTAGGGTTAGGGCTTAGGATAGGTTTTGGGCTAGGGTTAGGGTTAGGAATAGGTCTAGGGCTAGGGTTAGGGCTAGAGCTAGCATTAGGGTTAGGATTAGGTGTAGGGCTAGGGTCTATTTCTCAGCAGCTCACTCTGATACGCTGCACGTCCCTCCCAGGTGTGTATGGGAAATACAGAGGCTTTGTGATTGACACCGTGTATCGGGCACCGTCCCGGGAGAGGGCAGGACAGGGTTTTCCTCCGGGTGAGGTGCCGGTGTCTGGGCAGGGGCCACCCCTGGGTCCTGGGGGACGGTACGGGGACCTGCAGTGTGATCTGTGCTTTCCATTCGCCCACAAAGGCCCTGCACTGAGTGGAACTGTCCTGTCCCCTCTCGGGAGCTCCTGCCGGTCGGCCGGTCCCTCCACACTGATTGCTCTGCCGCCGCTGGGGCGTGTGCACAGGCCGCTCAGTTCAAGGACAGAAACAGGTGTCCATGTCGGTCCTGCTGCCGCTTTGAGATGGAACCACGGCGCCCGGTGGCCTCTCGGCCGAAGCTGAGCCTCCGGTGCTCGCGGGGCACAGGCAGGCGTGTGGGCACCACAGGCCACCCCCCCTCCCTACAGGCAGTGCAGGGTGAGCCGCTCCGGAGGCCGAGGCCCGACTCGCCCGAAGGTGTTCCGTGAGGTTAAGTGGCACCTGACTGCCCGGGAGGTGGCGCGAGACGTGTGCTGTGGGATTTCTCCAGCAGCTGGGACCGCAGAGGGAGTGTCCGCCCTCGCAGGGCAGCGCCCGAGGGCCTGGGAGCAGCGGCCACCAGCCTTTGGGACTCACGGACCACCAGTGGCCACCACTGCTTAGGACGAAGGATTCCCACACCCCCCCTCGCAGCGTAAGGATCAGACGCTCCCGCAGCCCCCATCTCTCAGGCTTGGGGGGCTGAGCGGCTGCCCTACCTCCCGCGTCCTCGTTGGGCCCACACGACGGAGCCAACACCCTTCTTGCCTGTGACCCCGGAGGTGGCGGCAGGAGTGAGCTGAGGGACCGACACCACCGCCATCTGGACGTCTCCGCCCGGTGAAGTCAGCACCGAGGGTGCGGCCGAAGCAAAGAGGATCCGGGCAAACAGTGAGGTCATGAGCTTTGCTGACACAAGGCCCAGCCTGTCCCCGAGGGAGGGACAGTGAGTCAGGAGGAGAGAGTGACTGGAGCCCGGAGGACGGAGCTCGCGGGACGCCTGGTGAGGGCAGGTGAGCCGGCCC